CGAAATAGGTAAATATGTTCATTTGTTTGTTTGCCTTATGTGTAATTTATATTAAAAACATTTTAAATGAAAATACAGACACTTTTAGGAAAAGTCAGTTACCAGCAGGATTTTATTTATTTTTTCAACAAAGTTATTGCAGATATAAAATTTAAAACAGTCAAAATGACCGTCGTGGCCGTTCTAGTGTTAACAAAGATGAACAAAAACAGTAACAAATGTATTCCTCATGGTTAGTTCATGTTAATTAATACATTAAATAATGTTTAATAAATGAACCTTATTGTAAAGTGTTACCGACATTTTTAATCTTTTTTTATCAGCTTTCAGCATTGGCTAACAAACAAACGCTTTAAGCTATTTTTTTATTAGTTTTAATATAGTTTTATATTATTACATCACAAAGAAATATGTGAAATGCATGCTTATACACAATTAAAAGAGATTTTCACAATAACATATCCCATGTGTGTGTGTGTGTGTAAGCATATGTCTACATATGAATGCAAAAGCACTTGTGAAAACACTTTATTAATAAGTACAGTGGCCAGCAGAGGGCAGTAGAAGACCACTTATTGGCTCACTTTCATTTTGACTTACTTGATTTTCACCAGTTTTCTGCACTAAAGCAAACCAGTTTTTCCATGTTAACTATTATAACACAATCATATTTTGTTAAAGTTTATCACTTCATTTTTATTGACACTTCACATTAATGCTAGCAATATGGTGCATCATGGTAAATCACAATAGAAACATGGTAAATCATTGTAAACAATACTATTACATGGTGTATCATGGCAAATCATGCTACAATCCTGCGGTAAATCATTCTAGAATGTGGTATATCATGGTAAATCATCCTATAACATGGTAAATCATGCTAGAATCATATTAAATCATACTAGAAAATGTGCAATTGTGTTAAATCATGCTAGAACAGGATAAATCATGGCGAATCATACTAGAACTTGGTATATCATGGTAAACTATGGTAAATTATGCTAGATTGATGGTAAATCATACTGGAACATTGTAAATAATGAAAAATCACACTGAAATGTGGTATATCATGGTAAATCATGCTAAAACATGGTCTATTCTATCTATGATCTCAGTGGTTAAATGCTTGCTATATACAACTTAATGTCTTTTGATGCTTTTGTGCTTAACGGTCTTAAAGGCCTTAAATGCTTGAACACCGCTAAATGCTGCTTGCAGCTTTAATTTTTATTGTTATCAATGTTGAAAAATTATATGATAAATAGTAGTTCTGTCAAATCGATTAATCGCATCTAACATAAAAGTTTTTGTTTAGTCAGTCAGTCAGTCATATTTATTTATAGAGCACACTTAAAAACAACAGCTGTTGGCCAAAGTGCTGTACAAAGTGTAAACAAGTATCCATAATACCACAAATAAACAATGCACAAAACAATGCAATACCATTACAGCCTCTTATGACCATAAGCAGCAGTAAATAAGTGGGTTTTAAGCAACCATTTAAAATCAATGTATGTAGGTGCAGTCTTTATGTAAGATGGCAGATTGTTCCAAAGCTGTGGAGCGGCCACTGAAAAGGCATGATCTCCTTTTAATTTTAGACATGTCCTCGGAAGGAGGACCCAAGTCTTACGGAGGATAAACGAAGGTCTTACGGGTTTGGAACGATATGAGGGAGAGTAATTAATGACAGAATTTTCATTTTTGGGTGAACTAACCCTTTAATGTCTTCACTGTCACGTTTGATCAATTTAATGTGTCCTTGCTGAATAACAGTACTAATTTCTTTTTTTTCTTCTTTTTTTCTTATACTTTACCTAAACTTTTTAGCGGTAGTTTGTATAAAGAGGGTACAGATTAATTGAGATGACTGCTGAATCTCACCATCTGTTTCAATCAGTCAATGACAGTATGGTACTTTAGAGTAGGGCTGGGAATTGATCCAAAAAGAATCGATTCGGAAGCGTTGGGAATTGAGTCGATTCTAAATATTGGAATCGATCAAAGAGAATGGACTCCTCTTTAAGATCCCTTTACAGTTCAACAGAGCTAATCATTAAAGGGGTGGTATAATGCCCTTTTCACAAGATGTAAAATAAGTCTCTGATGTCCCCAGCGTGTGTATATGAAGTTTTAGTTCAAAATACCCCACAGATATTGTTTTATAGCATGTTAAAATTGTCACTTTTTGAGGGTGAGCAAAAACGCACTGTTTTTGTGTCTGTCCCTTTAAATGCAAATGAGCTGCTACTCCTGGCATAGAAGGCGGAGCTTCAAGAGCTCATGTCCTTTTACCTCACACAGACATGCACTGAAAATATCAAAAACTTTTAGCCTTTTATGTTCAAACCGGAGTCAGGCCCCATCCACACTACTGCGTTTTAGTTTAGAAACGGATAATTAAAACGAATACGATCTCCGTCCACACCAGCGTTTTAGCTGCGTATTAGAATTGATCTCCGTCCACATTAAAACGACTGAAAACGTGGATCACGTGACCATTCACCAACACTGGGCATGCGCGTCCCGGTGTAAACACAACTTCATTGATAAAATTATCCCACCATGCTCTGGATTAACCACAAACCGACGCTCCGTACGGTCAACGCCGCCGCTGCACATGGGAATTGTCACAGATCACTCGAATAATAGCTTGACTCCGGCGCATGTAGGCAGTTATAGCGTTGTAAAATGCAGAATTTACTTGTACAACAGCTGCTAGCAAAGATATACGCCATGACTGATGATGACACCCAATCATAGAGCCGAGCCTGAGCCTCTACTACGTCAACGTTTCTAAAGTCCTCCGTTTTGACCCGTCTACACTAAAACGCCCTCCGGAGATTCAAAACGAAAAACGGGTCGGCAGCGTTTCTAAACTTCTCCGTTTTGGGTCTCCGTTTTTGCCGTTTTAGTGTGGACGGGAGGTGCAAACGTAGCAAAAGGTCTCCGTTTTTAAACGAAAACGCAGTAGTGTGGACGGGGCCTCAGACAAAGATGGAGAGACTCAAGAAGAAGTGACATTTCTGAATGGTTAGTTAATGAATTTATGTAGCTTATGTGTAGTTATCTTCTAGTCATTCATTACCATATTCTGTCTTGATCATCTATAAATCGTGTTCCGGGGGCAGGGTTTATTTAAATTTTAGAGTTAGTGACGTCACTAACCCGGGAGGAATGTCGTGCAGTCCCTACCAGCCGTTTGTTGTTTGGACAAGTTTGGTATTTTACACTTAAAGCCCTGTTTTAAGATCGTTTCTGATGAAATAGAACGGTTAAGATTGAAATTTGGACACATGCTGCTGGCCCGAGAATTTTCGGTTTCTGTGGTAAAGGGTTATGTTGTCCACAATGGTAGGTTTTGAGTGCCGCTCAAACTATGAGATAATAGATGCATGACGTGAGGGTCTTTACTTTCATTTAAATAAAATGCTAGGTTTTTTTTTTTCTATCAGCCAATGATCATTCTGAAAGAAAATCATTAACTGTGTCCGAAATTGCATACTGTCTGAGTAGGTACAACATTTGAATTTGAATTTAATTCGCAACCATTGAAAAAAGCACGTTCTATGATGGTATAAATATGGGTAGTATGAATGTAATCCGTACTACATCCGCCATGTTGTCATTATCATGTGACCTACCAGCATCAGTTGCGTCCCTTCACCTCCATTCATAAATCCTCTCCCGTGGCCTCATGGGATAGTAAAGTGTCCATTTGCGCACTTCTGAATCTCGGTGGTAGTAGTAGGTCATCCGGGGACTTTTTGCCTACTGTTTCTTTGAAAACTATATATTCGGACATACTACTCTGTTGGCGTACTGTTTTTCGCATACTATATAGTAGGGAAGTATTCGATTTCGGGCACAGCGATTGAGAGCATAGATCATTGGCTGAGATTCTTCTGTTTCTATAGTGTTGAATGCAACTTCCACGCGTATCTAATTGACAGATATACCACACGCTCTTTATTTCAGTGTTGTTGTGGTTGTTTCAGTGTACGGTTTACTTCACACATTCTGTGCAAAAGCATACAGTTAAAGTAAACTTCATCATTCAACTGAACTGTGCACATGCATTTTAGACACGTCTTGTTCCATCTATGCAATAAATGCACATGCTTGAATGAGCGTATTTACTGCTGGGCTATATGACCCATTTCAGGGGAAGCCAAAATTATAATTTAGAATCTATCAGCGATATAGAAATGTATCTGCATATTACAAACAATATTTCATATAACGAGAAGGCTACTTTCTACAACCTTTATATCCTGTGGTCATGGTGAAATTCGGTTCCTCCAATCTTTCATTTTAAAAAAAAGGGAAAGAAAACAACGGTGAGGAGGTCGAAGTCGATTCCCCAAATTTCTGAATTGATCAGAAGACTGTTGCAGCTGTTTTGAGTATCCATCTATTCTTGTGCAACACAATCTTACAGGTTGAAGACAGCTGTGAGTATGTGAGGAGGCATTTCGCCCTTGTAGTCCTACTTTAAAATGTGAGACATCATTAAATGAAAGTCAATGGAACATTTACAATTGATATTTTCCTGTCTGAGCCAAACACATTTTTTTGATGAATGCTGATGGTACAGCTTGATCATTAACCTTCTCAGGAGAAAAAGAAAACAAGTTGAAATGTAATATTTTTCAGGGAACTATGGCTCTAGGCAAGATTGAAACATTGTGCATGTTTACTTGCGGTATGTGTCCACCGGTGCGGAGTGAGCAGAGCGAAGCGCTTTCGCTTTATTTTTTATGGGATCTGAGTGACAGGCTCATATATGGAAACTTACATTGAGGCAAAGCAAGCAATGTTTTTTACAGCATTTATTAATGCTTAAATACTAAATGTATAATGTTTTAACAACTTGAAATTATAAAAAATGCATTAGCATTTTGGGTAGAATATTGAGCGTTTTTTCCACATATGTCGACACATGCCATTACACAAAGGCTAAATGTAATATAACTGCTCTGTAAATATTTTTGCAGGCTCAAACACTGGTGCGGGACAGTCCTTTGCTGACATCCATCGCTCAGAGTCATCTGTATCCACTTGTATATGTAGTACAGCAGTTAATTCACTGGCTATTTATGGGATACCCTCTGGTGCCATTCTGTCTCTTCACTTATGACAAGTGGCTCAAGGTGTGTAGATTTGTTCATCGCTCAAGATTTGTTCATCATTAATCTGATGTTGGATGTCCATGTTCCTAACCACCTTTATCAAAGTGTTTGCTATTGTCATTTACATTTTGAATGCATTTGTTTTCCAGGTTTACTCCTCCATTTATTTCTGTGGTCACATCTTTTTCTTCGCTGCCTTTCTCGTCCTGCCATACCTCCGCAAGGTGTTCGTGCCTCGAAAAAAAGGCAGTGAGAAAAAGGAGGATTAATTAAAAGGGTAAATTTAGCATCTGTCTCTTCTAGACTCTCTTGTTTGTGCTACCTGTCTGTTCTCACTGTTTTTTGTGTGTGTGTGAGTGTGACATCTATTCTTTCCTGTGTTTGCTGTCTCCTGTGCTTCACATCATATTAGTAGTTGCATGAACACCGTCACAATGTCTGTATTACCAGTTTGAAACTCAAAGATATTCTTTGGCTGTTCTGTTTACATGGTATTTACATCTATCCTTTGTGAGCCGGTCTGACCGATCACAGAAATCATTTTAATATGCTGATTTGCTACTCAAGAAACATTTCTTATTATTATCAAGGTTGAAAACAGCTGAGCTGCTTAGTATTTTGGTGGAAATCATGATTGTTTTTTTTTACAGGATTTATTGATTAATACACAGGGCAGCATTTATTTGAAATAGTAATTGAAATAATATTTGAAATAATATTTTTTGGTAATATTATAAATGTCTTTTCCTCTTCTACTTTTGCTATTGATCAATTTAATACATCCTTGCTGAATAAACATTTTATGCCCAGTTTAATTTCCGACCCAAAACTTTTGAATGGTAGTGTACGTCACTTTATCCATGTTACTGCATGTTGATAAAGCACAAAAGAAATTCTAATCCAATGTAAAAAATGTAAACGAAGGCATGAAAAAAAAAATCAGCGCACCATTCTTCCAAACCGTGCAAATATTCTTGAATTTTGATCTCACCCTAAGAGTGATATTTCGAGCAGAAGTTTGTACATACTTTGTTTAGTTAAGATCAAGATGAATGTATAAAACGTATTTTTTCTTTCTTGAATTCCACTAGCCCAAAAAGAAAAAAATCCCGAAAGTGACAAAGAGAGATTTGCAGTTTCCGTGTCCTTTCTATTCTGACCCAAATCGCTTGAACCCACATCACATCTTAATTACGGCTTCCGAACACGTACGTAGGATCTTCCCAGGAGGACTTATAAGCAGCATAATCATACTTCATTAGATCATGACTGATGATTCAGTTAGGATAGGTGTTACCATAAGCCATTTAATTCCAGTAGGAAAAAATGTATCATCCTTCTGTCTCAAAGCTTTTCACTGGCGCTGTGGCAATGTTTCATTCATCCAGGTCTTCATAAAATGTCTTATTTATTTGTTGCATCACCGTTTTTTCCCCCTCTCATCCAAGCGTTTTGTTTCGGATCATAATGAGGCTGTACTGATAACTGACAAAACCTTTAGTAATCTTTGACTAAAAGTGCTTTAGAATTAGTGACTGTGTGAAGAAGTAAAATGATCATCCTTTTTCTTCCTCTTTGTCTTACACAGGTTTGTTTGCGGCCATCTAAGTTTGACTGAAGTGAACTGTGACTTTTAAAGAGCACCTGAAGAGGACAAATTTTAAGGCCTTTAGTAATATATTACTATTTACATACAGCACTGATGTATGTGTACAAATGTTAGTGCGTTTGAAAGTTTTCTCATTCTTTCTGACTCTAATGAAAAGGGTTAAAAGTTGCAGAAATGCAAGCATTTCTGAGGTTCAATATTCGTTAAATAAGATTTACTGATGTTTGGTGGCTGAAAATAATTATATTGTATCTGCTCATACCATTGCACTCATTACTCACAAGAAAACAGGAAATGAGACCATTACTAATCAGAGAACTGGCTTTTGCTGTCGCTGAGGTCATGTGTGCACTTTTAGAGGGAATGTAGAGCATGTATTTGAAAGATGGAAACAAATGAGACCTTTTTAATTGTTCTTTGCTAGCAACTTCCAACTTGTGTACCTTTAGATAGAAAATAAGACACTGAAATGTGAAACACACATAAGAGTGAACAGTGACTGAACATTCACCATCGCCTGGCATTATAAATGAATGTTTGTCATTTTTATAACCATTTGTTTTTTCTTGTGATCAGACAACTTCTGATGGGGGACCTTCTCTTTTTTTTTTTAGGAAGGAGGTTTATGGTAACTGCTTTTTTTCTTTTTCTTTTTACACGCTTTCATAAAAAGGCTCATCATTCTGTCATCTCATCCTCTCACTCCATTTAACACTGTCTGTCCATCCATCTGACCTTTTCTTGTTCACTCCATTTTATCCAGTAAATCTTTTTGTCCTGTGTATGAGCACAAGCAAAACAGAAACACATCAACACTAAACACCGGAATCATATATATATGAGGGTAAATTTGTGTCAATATTATTTAGAGCAGAGTATTATATATTTAAATTATAAGTATTATAATGAGCAATGAACTAAACTGTGCACATCAACAACACAAAAACTGCTGTTATTTAGATTGATGAAGAGTGTGTGTATGTGTATAGTCCTTAAAAATGTTATTTTGTTTCATTGCACAGTGAAGTTATTTTTATACTTATTCTTTCGTTCTCAACACTTCTCATTATACATCAGGATCTTTTTTTCTGTGTGATCTGCTCTCAGTAATTGCTACACATATTTGCCTTCATATCTGTTCTGTATATGACATGACATATTGAAGATCCTTGCCACAAATGTGCATCACTCTTCAGTGAGGACCGATTTTTAAAACCTGCACCCAGATTTAATCCGAAGGAACAGAGGCTCACTGTAGCAACGGAATTGTTTTATAATATTTATATATGTGGTTGCAAATTTTAATGATGTAAAAATTGTTTTTGGGAAACAACTACTACTGCCTTACTGCTACCAAATGTACAAAAAAAAAAACAGAGAGAGAGAGAAAAAAAATACTTTTAAATGAAAACGTTTTTTGTAATATTCATTAAAAAATGCTGGATTTTAATAAAATTTGCTCCAGTGTGTTGTGGTGTTTTTGAACTGTGGTGTCAGGGTTTTGGATCTGTCTGCTGTGGGAGCCGATATGACGTCATCTTGCAGTCTGGGCCCTATAGAGCTGAAGCACAGATAGTGATAGTGGGGAGTTCAAACGCATTCACAAATGTCCTTCGTTTTAGACTCGAAGTGGGAATAAATGTGTAGGTTGAGGATGAGTAGTAGTTGTCACGAGCCCTCCAGATGCTTCCCTCCCAGCCAGATGTACCTCACAGCCAGCCATCGCTAATCGGGATGAAAAAAAATGTTTCCTACTATTGACAATGCTCAGCTTATTAATATTAAATAGTTTATGGTAATATCGCTTGGTAACTTCCTATAGAAACGGTTTGGTTGTTGCATATTAACTACTCCGCTATAACATCCTCCAATGAACACGCCTGGCTAATGAATATTAATTAGCTACGTTTTGACCTTCCAATGGCGGAGGGTTGGACTATGAATATTAAGAACCAAGCCTTCGTCGCAGTAGGATTTGTAAATTCGTTTACCGGGGGTGAGTCCTGAGAGCGAGAGAGACGCAGTGTGGGCGGGTTAAGAAACTGCGAGAGGGAGGAGATATAACACTGTCTTTTTTTCTCACGGCGTCCACCGAAAACGGGGGCATTGGTTTCTTAGTACATAATCTTAATATTCTTTCAGCTTCGCTCCTTTTCACAGTTCAAATCATTTCGTGAGGCACCGGAGGCCCCATCGCTCCACCCGTTGCGTTCGCTGCGCTCGTGTGTCGGCGGGCATCAGGCTGTCATAGGTGTGTGTGAGTGTGTGACGGATGCTTAGAGGAGACTGAGCAGGGTACCATCTCACACCTCACGGTAACGTGCATTTCATCCTAAAATAATATTTCTAATTCGATTCGTGCGCTTATGACGGGTTAACACCATCTAAACTGCTCTCTGCTTGTACATATGTAATGATATGGTGATTTCAGGTCGCTTGAATTTCTTTACAGGCTTGAAAAATCGATTCATGTTTGTCGCATATGTGTTACAAATATGAGTGAGCTGTAGGCTAACATTTTAATAATGCGTTTGAAACACCAGGTTATATCACATCTTCCCGTCATTCAAGTTGGTAGCTTTTAAATCTTCATTTATTTAAAAAAAGAATATTGATGTAGGCTATGCAAATGGTATACATCTTTTCAAAACAGATGTTATTCGATCACATTTGATATTCTGTTAACAAACCTGCCTATGTGATATCCGCGTCCGCGCGCACAGCCGCGAGGATACACCTGCATGCGCGTGTAAACGAGGATGCGCAGACTTCTCACTTTCACGCGCACTCAAATCGCTTAATATGTAGGTTTTATTGATTGTTGATTGTCACTAGTAAATATGAAATATATATATATATATTGACACACTGTATCTCAGATGTAAGCCATACCTACTCGGCCAAACTAGGCCATAAAGATGATGTCAAGGGTGTTATATCATATTCACATGTACCTAGAGAGCTAGTATTAGTCTTTATGTTTCCGTTTAAAGAAATCCAAGCAAGGAGATATATGTCTGTCTCTCTGTCTCTGTCCTTGTGCTTATCTGTTTCTCCTCTGTCCTCTATCTTAAACTGCTTTATATCAGGTTAATGCATGTTATTTCCCTCTGTCCTTCCCCTCCTTCCTCCCTCAGATGGCCAGAATGAGTTTTCTCTCCTTTCTCCTCTTTTGCTTGACTTCGGTTGCCCATGGCAACAAAGGTCAGTCTCCTCCATCCTTTTGAATGTTGATATTGAGCATTGTGTTGATGATGAAGTGCGAATGAGTGTGTTAACATTTTCGTTGGCAGCTTTTCGGCACATACAGTCTATTGAAACCAGTCACTTGATTCATTTTGCTGCTGTAAAGTATGAAAACATGTCAGTTATTTAATATATGCCTCCTGTATGAATGACAACTTAGATTTTGTAAAGATCACAAAAGGTAGGCCGCATCTCAAGGTGACATGGGAAGAGACAACATTGAAAAAAGTGAAGAGACATGGAATGACACTCTGGAAGATAGGAGTGAAGAGATGAAAGCTAATGACAGAGATATGTAGACTAACTGGTAGGAGAGCAAAATTTGGAGGAGGACAGAGAGGATGCTTAGATATATATTGTAGGATCTCGGTGAGAAAGAGAGAGGGAGTGAGAGGTCGACTCTTGTCCTTGAAGAAAAGGGTGAAAGCTTATCTATTCTTGTCTCAGCTATTTTTAGAGATGTGGGAAACCGGAGATGCTGTATTTCTTAATTTACGGCTAACGCTTCTCCCGTGTGTGATCACAGACATGCGTAGCTCTTTCTATCTATCCTCCGTCACAGCTGTTGTCAGAGCCGTTCAAAAAAACGCTCTGGTCAGTCAGTGTGTGAAAGCGGCACGTGTGATAAATGGAGGTAGATGCAAAGCATCTCTCAGTCTGTAATCCGAGGAGTAATCCAGTGGTCTGATGCTCAGATTAATGTTATATGGCTGAGTGAGGGATGAGAGGGAGGAAGGCAGGCGTGGCTGGGTGGGAGAGAGAGGGATAGGTAGAGAGATAAATGGCAAAAAAACACAGACTGACTTGAAATATGAGAGCGGGGTGGTCAGCATGCAGCCACACATGAAAAATCCTTACATGCAAGACTGGTCCATTGAGTTAGTGGTCAGCACACTGTCTAGTATAGGATAATATCATATGACCATTCATTTTAATCAAGTAGGGGTCAATAATAAGGATTATTAGTGATGATTTTTACTTGCCTTGCCAACGTTTTTACTGGCACAACCAATCGCAAAATAATGATTGATTTTTATTTTTAGCAATACGTATTTGCTAAAAATTATGTTTTGTTTACAAAGTTCGGGAGGAGCAGGATTTTTTATTCATGTTTTAGTTTTTTTTTTTAAGTTCATTAAATTGATATTTGTTTACATTTATACTGATATATTTAATATATAAATATACACTACCATTCAAATGTAGGGGTCAGTAAGATTTTTTAATGGTTTTGTTGAAGTCTCTTATGCTCAGTTGCTCACTAAGGCTGCATTTATGAACCGTAAAAAATACCGTAAAAACAGTAAAACTGTGAAATATTGTTACTATTTAAAATAGTATTTTAATATATTGTAAAATGGAATTGAATCATGTGACGGCAAATCTCCAGTCTTCACTGTCACTGATTCCTTAGAGATCCTTCTAATGCTTTTTTTTTTTTGTGGATACTATGATTTTCTGAATTCTTTGACGTAAATCAAAGTAAATTTGATGTAAATTATGCTGCTCAATATGAAGTTTAATAGAACAGCATTTATTCGAAATAGAAATTGTTACAATTTGTTACAAAATGATTGGTTTGCAGTTTTCAACACATACTTATGTTTTTAAGACAAGCTAGATAACATTATCTCATTGACAAATCTGTGGAATTTGCAACAATAATGCAAAATACATCAAAGAAAACCAAACGTTTAAGCCAAGGCATAAAATGGGAAATTCAAGATAATGAATGTAAAGATAAAGATTTTCAGTAGCAATGCAGCAGCGACCAGAAAGACCCCAGGCTAGCGGGTCACCCTTATTGTTGAAGATTTCTCTTTTTCAGGGAGTTTGATGTAGGTTTGCATGGTTCGGTCTTTCTCTGAGCGTTCACAGAGAGCTTTCTGTCTGTATTTGAGTGATAGGCGCAATATACCTCACGGTGTGCGATCAGGCCAAACATCTCCACATCTAATTACTCTGCAAAGCAGCGATGCATATCGTTCTGTGTGTGTGTGTTTGTGTGTGTTTTGTGTGTGTCCATCACACAGTTTTGGTGGATCCCCATATGGGTATGTTTATAACTTAATGTGCAAGTGTTATGCATACGTACAGCTGGCCGAACCATTGCACCATCTGCCACTTATGTATTTCAGCACGACTTTTTTATTTGTTGCACATTCCTTTGACTTGGTCTGCTTGTGTGCGTCTTTGAACCTCTGCTCACTCACCTTCATAACAGCATGTTATAAATAGTCTTGTCAGAAAAAAAATAGCCATTTGCTCTGAATCACAGTTTGTTCCTGTGTCTCTCACACCTGTCCCTTGCTTTTGTGATTGTTTTTTCTCAGCCAATAAACACAAGCCATGGATCGAGACGGAGTACCAAGGAATCGTCATGGAAAACGACAACACCGTCCTCCTCAACCCTCCTCTGTTCGCCCTGGATAAAGATGCACCGCTGCACTATGCAGGTAAAAATGCTGATAATGTTGCACGCTTACTTGTTATAGTCATGCTGTGATGATTAATCCACTTAAGGTTACATTTGCAAAGTTTAGTGGGCAAAAATGTCCATTGTCTATTGTCAATAGCACAGCTCACACAGAAGTCACTTTCAAACCAAGCAGTTTTCTGTTGGTCAACGCAGCGAATCCATGTGACCAACCATTGCAAAATCAACTTGGGGAAATCTATCGCCCTCACATGAAATTCTTGACCGCATAGATTCCTATTAAAATGCCTGGATTTCACTCCTGAAAATTCACAGAACAATGATGAATTCGCACCTTTAGTCGGTAGTTATAATCTTTTAGGCCTTAAGTGTGAAACGGAAGCAATAGTTGTGCATAATCATATTACTAGTGTACTTCCAATTGACAGGGTCTAGTTAGGGGTTTGGTGCAAGGGTTATTTTGAAGGGGAGGGAGCAGCTTTGAAGCTTCTTGCAGCTAGTTCAGTACCGCGGTAAGTAATTACATGTTATGTTTACACAAATTACATGAATTACACAGGGATTAAGGCTGACAGACCTCCCCCCTCCGCAGGCTGAGCTAACATTCACAGTGGCGTGTCATTTGTGACAGCACTTCCTGAACACAGACACGTATTTACTTCCAGAAGAACACTCAGCAGCACTTTTCACGTCATTTCACACATTAATGTTTTTTTCACTTGTGTAGTAATGGCGCTTTAAATTAGGATTTTGGAAACAGGTTGTCACGTACAAAT